TGCAGAAATAGTTGCCTGTGATTCAGAGCACGTAAGGCATTTCCATTGTGCTGAAGTGATTACAAATATGCAGCTCCGCTAGGCAGGCGATGCAGGGTGTAAATCAGCATTAATAGATCTGGTCTTTCACAGTTCAGGGCACTGGCTTGCACCAGCTTGGGACTAAAGTGAACAGTCCCCACAAATTAACACATGGTTGGATGCCTTTTGTGAAGACTCCTCCTGGGGTACTGTGGGCAGGTGACTCCAGTTTGTCCTGAGGAAATATTGCCAGCGGATCAGACGAAGCAAAGAGCAGCTGGCGTGAAAAACTTGGCTTTGAGAAATGGAAATGAAAATGTGTCCAACAGTTTGTGTCCTCCCAGTTTGGGAGTTCACTCCCTGGGCTAGAAAATGAGATTGAAAGAGGAGACACAAATAACCTTTGCGTTAAACTGTCCTCACTGCTTCTGGAAGCCCCTGCTGCTTCCATTAGACAGCCTTAGCTAAGACTCTGAGCAGTGGAAATATGTTTTTGCAGCAGGAATGACTTTTTCAGTTCAATATCCCACCTGCATTGAAGGCTCAGAGCTTGTTTTTGTGATTTTTGCTCTTTTTCCTCACTTTATCTACACGTAATACAAAGTGGTGCACCTTTCCAAGTGACTTAAAGAGAGATCTAGAGGAGCATGGTGGTTTCCACAGTGGGATTTGCTGTATGCATTGCTGTCTCTTCACAACCAGCTTTTAATTACAAGTTTAGTGAAGCACTGGCATGGGTTGCCCAGTAAGGTGGTGGATGCCCCATCCCTGGAAATATTTAAGGTCAGCCTGAACTGGGCTCTGAGCAACCTGATCTAGCTGTAGGTGCTCCTATTCATTGCAGGAGAGTTGGACTAGATGGACTTTAAGGTTCCCTTCCAACTCAGAAGATTCTGTGATTCTGAGATATGTCATAATCAATAGGTTGTAGAGAGGTTGTGGATGCCTCCTCCCTGGAGGCATTCAAGGCCAGGCTGGATGGGACTTCAACCAGCTTGGTCTAGTGGGAGGTGTTCCTGCCTACAGCAGAGGTGATGGAACTAGATGATATTAAAGACCTCTTCCAGCACACAAACTATTCTGTGGTTCTATTCTATAATCATGTGGAAATCTGGGCTTTGCTTGGGAAGAGATTAAAAATCACCCCTGGATATGCAGTTGGACATATCAAATGTGCGTCCAACACAGCCTCTTTCCTTCCCCTTTCACCCAACATATTTCAACTCTTTCACAAATCTGTACTCTGAAGTAGCTTAAGCCCCTTTCCCCATGATCTAAGAATCATGGTGCAAATGACGTGATTAAGCAGGATGAGATCTGTGTGCTATTTCTTGCCTGTGTTTTGTATTAGGTTGAATATTATGGGGAATCTTCAGAGATAGTGCTAATGCATTGGAACAGGATGCCCAGGGAGTCTGTGAAGTCACTGTTCATGCAGATTTTCAAGAAAAGATTAAATGTGGCACTGAGTGATACAATTCAGTGGGCATAGTGGGGATGGGTTGACGGTTGGACTTGATAATCTTAGAGGTCTTTTCCAACCTTAAAGATTCTATGATTTCATGTTGGATGGAACAGGCCATGTAACTCCAGCATGAGCAAATACAAAATATCTGCAGTGGTTGCCTGTTAGTCTATGTCTTAAATCCTTGTCACAGTGTTGTAGGATTGACTGGATGCAATCTCATTACTGATTGGCAGCCTTTTGAGAAAGTGAAAATTTTAATGGTGATTTAAAGGAAGAAAATATAATTTAATGCCTGAGAAAAAGGAGTGAGACCATAAGAACACTTGTGATAGGCAGGTAGGAAGTGGATTTCCTTGACATCAATCCTGGATTGATTTCAGCATTCAACTTTATTGGTTTTTCAATATCTGCATAAAGTTTAGTGTTTCATGAAACAACATTCCATATCCAGAGAAGGAAAACAAAAACAAACTACAGCACACATCAGCATTGACTAAGGTAATGAAATAAGACAGTTTTAGTTTATTGTCTCATAGAATATTTTGAAAATGTGCTTATATAAACACCACCAGCCTTTCCTAAAAAAAAAAACCTCCAATGTGCATAATCTATAATGGAAGAAAAACTGGTATCAATTATGTGCTTGGTAATCCTCTCAAAATATAATAACAACAAGCTTAATGACGTCAGGTCTATCTGCTGTAGTGAAAAGACATTAAAAAGCAATCATAAACAAAAGCAGATCTTTACCTAATGCTCTGTTCACTGGGATATAGGAAGGCAGATTACTGTACTTTAAAGGTTTTGTCAGTGCCAGCAGAGCAAGGAAACATAAACTGGAGTTAGGTTTATTACGCATATTTTGGTTGAATCACTATTGATGCATGAATCCTGGCCACCGTCAAATACATTTGTCAACTTAGTATTTGCAGAATTGTTATAAGCAAAGCAAAGATCTCACACAATTTTTTGGTATGTGGTTGTTCTCAGACTTTTTTTATTTCTTCTTCTGAATTTGCAAAGTATAGTTAATTAGCAAAATTTGCATTGTTCTGCTTCTTCCCCCTTATTGAGGAAATCAATGTTTTCAGCCTGAGGATAAGGAATAGCAAATGCCACATATGCTTGTGCAGTGTCTGTGTGCTCTTTAGTTCTAAAAAGAAATAGGATGTATCTAGAATGAAGCTGAAGAGGATATGAAGCCAGTAAGTACAAGCATCTAGTATCATATACTGAGGCATAATGATGATGCAATTCAAAAATTCACAGGAAAGTGGAGCATTTATTCACAAAAGAAAAAATATTTGTAAATGAATTTTTAATGACATAACAAATGCCGGTGTTAGAAAATAAAACATTTGTATTTGAGTGATGAACTAACTATATCAGCAGGTATAGCTGAGCTGATGCAGCTCTTAAGTCTCAGCTTTATGGGAAATACAGTAGCTTTGATGCTTTTTGCCGTTGCAATCTGCAAAATAATGCTGCATTTTGATTATTGCCTCCCATGTGCATTTAAAAAAAGCATTGAGTTTTTGGTCAATATCACTAAATTATTTCAACAGTTCTTTTTTTGACATACAATATTTAATTTTTACTACATAAAACTGTTGAGTATTTAATTAAAATAATAAGTTGAATATAAAATTAAATATGAACATAAATGCAGAATAAAACATAACATAATAAGAATATAATAGAAAATAAATCAGAATAAACAATATATCCTAAAATATATTTTAAATGGAATAGCTTTAAATGCTAAAATGCACTGTGTAAAATATTTTTTAAGCTGCACTGAAATCAGTGCATTCTTGAAGAAAAATGAGATTATGATGACTTCGCAAATTGTGATGCAGAAATATTATGCCAAAGCCCTGTAAACAAAGCTAATATATTTTGAAAAACGTATGTCAAGAAGCAGTTTCAGATGACATGCTTGGGCCACATGGATAACAAGACTATTTCCATCTGATTTCAGATGGGGAAGCAGATGGGGCTGTTTCTTGCTGTTAGACTTCTGTGGTCACAGTCTCTCAAGGGCAGAACTTGAACATCTGAGTTTTTGTAATTATTATTATTATCACTACTAAAATGACTGTGACTGAATCTGGACTGCCAAATTTTAGCCTACTGTTCTTAGCACTATGAAAAGAATGGGAGATTTTTTCACTATGAGAGAAGTCTTCCACCCATTACTGCTATATGCCAATACTGTAAGTGCCAATATGATATTGTTAATTTAGCTATGGAGTTCAGTTGCCAGTACACTGAAGACTTGTATGATATTGAGGTTCCCAGGGTACCCAACACAGGCCTGGCAGGGAGACCCTCATTCTCCAGTCTGTCATCTGTTGCCAGGTGAGATTTCTGTTTTAATTGGTATTATATTCCTGTGTTTAGGCAACTAAATCCTGTGTTATGTATTCAGAGAATCACAGAATAGTTGAGGCTGGACGGGATCTTTGGACATCATGCTAGACTCTGTCCAGTATATTCATGTCTCTCTTTTACTGAGGAGCCCAGAATGGGAGACAAGACTCCACATGAGATTTCACTAGGGTGGATTAGGAGGGGAGAATCACCTTCCTCGACCTGCTTTTCCTAATACCCTAAGTATTTGACGCTGATATACAGGGAGACAAGTTGCACTCTGCTGTCTGCTGGAGTGATTATGAGATGCTTTTCTGAATCTGGAACCACAGAGAGTTCAACCATGAGCATCTCCACAGCAGTCAACACATGACCTCTTGAGATGGCCTCTTTTACATGTCACCATGCAAAATACTAATCCTTGAACAACTACAACTGATAGCCACTTGCAAGATGTCAGGCCTTCAGAAGTTGCTTTTTGTTACATCCCTGATTAGCTTTGAGACCTGCAGAGATGCATCTTTCTTTGGGGAACAGACTGGGGAGAGCTGCAGAAGAGTCTATATTTCTTTGCCCACAGCTGCAGATATCACAGTTTATGACCTTGCTGGAAGTTACACCAATTCAAAATCATCTAGCTGCACTTAAACATAGACTGGCAGGTAACTAAAGCTTTGGATACATTTCAGTAATGATTCTTTACCTTGATTGTCATTTTTAGTGCCATTCCACTGTAACTGTCCATCTGTTTAATCTGACTGTCAATCCCACTTCTCCCTGCTCGTATTGTATCCATCAGCTTGCCAGTTTCAATGTGACTGAAAGAATGACTCAGAGTTCCAAGAATTTGTTCTTAGAAATGTACTGGAAGAGAAAGAATACATATGTAAGCCTACGGAGGGCAGAGTGTCATCACAAAATCAGGATTGGCCTTGGGTATGGTGATGACATAATGGTATTGCTGCCTCTTATGCTTTAATGAGGGAACATTAGAAGACTTAGAAATGGTTTGGATGATAGATCAGGGGTTACCAGGAAAAACTGGAGAAATTAGGGGTGTTTCAGAGATGTAGGGGGTTGTAGGTGTTGTTATCTGAGAAGTGGTGCGGTTTTTGTGCAGCGGTGCAGCTCGGCAAGGATGAAGCTCAGCATCTCTTTCCCAGCCATTGGCTGCCAGAATCTTATTGAAGTAGACGATGAGCACAAGCTGAGAACATTCTATGAGAAGCGAATGGCCACAGGGGTTGTGGCTAATTCTCTTGGTGAGGAGTGGAAGGGCTATGTTGTCCAGATCAGCAGTGGCAATGACAAACAAGGCTTCCGTATGAAGCAAGGTGTCCTTACTCATGGATGTGTCCACCTTCTGCTCAGCAAGGGCCACTCCTGCTACTGCCCCAGGAGAACTACAGGGAGAAAACGCAAATCTGTTCGGGGTTGCATTGTCGACACCAACTTGAGAGTTCTGAACTTGGTCATTGTGAAAAAGGGTGAAAAGAATATTCCAGGACTGATAGACACAACTGTGCCTCATCGTCTTGGTCCCAAGAGAGCTAGCAGGATCCGCAAGCTCTTCAATCTCTCTAAGGAAGATGATGTGTGCCAGTATGTTGTGAGGAAATTTCTGAATAAAGAAGGCAAAAAAAACAGGACCAAGGCTCCTAAGATCCAGCAACTAGTGACTCCTCGAGTTCTGCAACATCGCTGCAGACGTATTGCCCTGAAGAAGCAGCGAACTCAGAAGAACAAGGAGAAGGCAGCAGATTATACTAAGCTCTTGGAGAAGAGGATGAAGGAGGCAGAGGAAAAACGCCAGGAGCAGATTGCTAAGAGATGCCAGCTTTCTTCATTGAGAGCTTCTACATCTAAATCTGAGTCAAGTTAGAAGTAAAGATATATACACAGACATGATACTGAAAATAAAACCCTTTTGTCGTTAAAAAACAAACAAACAAAAAAACCCAAAACAAATCATGAGGAGAAACTTTTTCTCTCAGTGGTCAGGCACTGGAATGGCCTGGAGGTGATTCTGTGGTTCTGTGACATGGTAGAAGGAAGGGATGCCATTCAGAGGGACCTCGACAGGCTGCAAAGGTCGGCCCCGATGAAGCTGATGAGGTTCAACACAGCAAAGTGAAGAGTTTTGTACTTGGGCCAGAGGAATCCTAGGCATCCATACAGACTGGAAGGAGCGGTCCTTGAGAGTAGCCCTGTGGAGAAGGACCTGGGGGTCTTGATGAATTAAAATCTTAACATGATCCATCAGTGTGCCCTTGCGGCTCAGAAGGCAAATGGTATCCTGGGCTTCATCAGAAGAGGGGTGGCCAGCAGGGACAGGGAAGTGATTGCCCCTCTCTACTCTACTTTTGTGAGGCCCCATCTGGAATACTGTGTCCAAGTGTGGAGCCCCCAGTACAAGAAGGACAGAGAGCTATTGGAGAGGGTCCAATTGGAGGATAGCCATGAAGATGATCAGGGGACTGGAGCACCTCCCCTATGAGGACAGGTGGAGGGAACTGGGCTTGTTCAGCCTGGAGAAAAGAAGGCTGTGGGGTGACCTCATTGCAGCCTTTCAGTACCTAAAGGGAGCCTACAAACAGGAGGGGAATCAACTCTTTGAAAGGGTTGATAACTGCAGGACAAGGGGAAATGGTTTTAAGTTGAGAGAAAGGAGATTTAGGTTGGATGTCAGGGGGAAATTTACAGAGAGAGTGGTGAGGTACTGGAACAGGCTGCCCAGAGAGTGTTCAAGTATTCAAGGCCAGATTGGATGGGGCCCTGGGCAGCCTGATCTAGTATTAAATGTGGAGGTTGGTGGCCCTACATGTGGCAGGGGGGTTGGAGATTCATGGTCTTTGAGGTCCCTCTCAGCCCTGGCCATTCTGTGATTCCATGATTCTGTGGATGCATTGCCAAGCTTGGGGCTTGGAGAGGACCTGCATGTAGGTGGAGATAATTCTGTACATTGGAGGAAAACTGAAACTATTGTGGTAGGCTTGTTTACAAAACATAGCACACATAATTCTGTAGGAAATATATCTCCATTAAATTCTGCAGCTTATGAATATTATTTGGGAGTCTTATAATCAAAACATTCATTTTTTCCTTTTCAGAAGTGTTCAGACTTGAAAAGGTGATTGTTACATCCTGGTTCACAGGGTTGTCCACTTTGATTTTCATTTTGTGTTCATTTGTGTGCTAATGTGTTTTTCTCGTCAATGCTGATGGATTCCTCTCTAATTAATATTGATGAGTTGGATCAAGAATAGTTTGGGCCACCAGCAACATTTTACTATGACTGAATCTTTGAGGAAAAAGGGCAGGAGAACAGAAATCATCCTAGAAGGGTCATAACATAATGAAGAACCTCAGATGGACACTTATTTTCATTAAGGAAGGAGAATTGTTCCACAGACATTATGTAATGATGGAGAAAATTGATTAAGCAATGAGGGAAGCTGAGATAGACAGGAGTCATAAGGCTGGGTGAATTCACACAATTCAGATTGGATATTAGGAAAAACTTCTCTGAAAGATTAGTTGGGCACTGGAACAGGCTGCCCGGGAAGTTGGTGGAGTTACTGTCCCTGAATATGTTCAAGAAACATGTTGATGTGGTACTTAGGGACATGATTTAGTGGGCTTGTTGGTGACAGGTTGATGATTGGACTAGATGATATTAGAGGTATTTTCCAACTTTAACGAATCTATGAGTCTATGATTCTATGATTCATGTCAGTATGTCTCAGCCTCACCATAGCAAAGGACTGGTAAAACAGCACCGAGTTTCCCTGTTGGCTTCACGAAGAAGAGATCTGGCAATGTATCATCTACAGAATAGATCTGTTCAAATGGAACCACCCTGACAAATAGTATCCTTTTTAAAATTTAAATTATTCTCTCCTCCCTGCGCAGTAGTACCAGTTACAGAGCCAAATTCATAGCTGTGCTTTCCCTTTGTTTCTTTTGTTTATTTAATTTGATTTAATTTAATCAACCATTTGTTTTGAAGCTGCCTGTATGAATTTGCTTAAATGTGCTGAGTGCTACTTTGGAAATAGAAATCTTGTTCTTGTTGTCTGTTTTTTATTCCTAATTTGCACTTCTTCTAATGGAGTGCATGATCCAGAGTTTAGAAGATGCTTTCTCATGTTTCTTGTAAATAGACCATCCAGTCTTCTCTGAGCAACCTGATCTAGCTGTAGATGTTTCTGTTCATTACAGTGGATTTTGACTAGACGACCTTTAAAGATCTCTTCTATCTCAAATGATTCTATGCTTCTATGATTCCTCTCGAATAAAGATCAATTAAAAATGAATAGCAGAATTCAGGATTTGCACTGAAAGTGAGGCTATTCCCATGACCTAAGGCAATGCATTCCCCAGGGAAAAAAGCCTGTAGGAAGGAGGAGTTCCTGCCCATGGTTAGGAGCTGAGCCATACTCTGGCAGTCAGAATTTCTCTTTAGAAACAGTGGTTACGTCACTGGAGGGAAGATAAAGGCAGCTCAAATTGTCTCAGTACAGTAAGCAAAACGAAGGCTTGTTATTTTGAATGATGATGAAGGAAGGGCTGAAGAGAGGCTTTCAAGAGAAGAAATAAAGTTGAGAGAAACACAATAGTACAGAGAGTTGAAGAGAGGCCCTGAATGTCTATGCTCATCTCTACTATTTGGAGTAATCAGAAGTGGGAGCACAAGAGATAGTGAATAGAGAAGCTAAAAGGTGAAAATCTTTGACCAGCCTGCTGGATGCTCACTCACCAACAGCCACAGTTGTTTTCCATGGTTCTGTCAAAGGAAAGAAAGTGTATTCATTGACCACCTACCAGTCATAGGTCATTTCTGTTTGAGGCCTCACTATGGTTGAGGTGCAGAAGCAGAACACTGCTGGAAGTGAGCAGGCTGCTGGCTGAGCTGCTGGGTGATGTGAGGTGAGAGTTGGCAGACTGACTCTCTTATTCAGTATGTAAGTTGACAGGTCTGAGAACCTGGAGTGCTCCCCAGCTACAGTCTGAAGGAGATCTGCCAGCTGGTCCAAAGTGAAAAATGAGGTATGTGTGCCTGGACATCAATGAAATGAGCAGGACTTATCAGGAACTCAAAGGTCACATCTTGTCACTTACCAAAATATGAGATGGGAGTGACTTGTAAGTACCATGACAAAAGATTTCTGGCACTAAAAAGAGGACAAGAGTCCTCATTAAATTTTTGAAAGGTGTACCAACATATCGAGCATATTGTTATCAAGTAAGGCAGGAATGTGCTCAGGTAGTCAGTAGTGACCAGTCAAAAATGTAATTGACAAAAAATGCATGTAATACGCAGATATGTGAGCTAATGATTAAACCAGATCTGATTAAATTGATAGTTAGAATGGAAAACTTTATATTAGTAATGAACACATTCCTTAACATATGAGAAAACTAAGAATTTATATACCACTTACTATTTTTGGATGATTTTTTAAAAATCACAACACTTGAAACAATCCCAAGTCCTGTTTCAGGAATGTGAATGAAATATTTCTTCTCTCTAAAGAAGGAACATGCAGTACTTAGCATTTCCAATTGGAGTTTATTTTTGTCTAATTTATTTTCAACAGCTTTCCCCTCATTTCAAGTGCTCTGAGAAGAGATAAAGATAATACATCCCACTAGAGACAAGGGATAAGACAACATCAGCAGAAAAGATGTGTACATTCAAGCAATCCTCTTAGTGAGCTGAGATTGCAGCCAGTGAGATATGAGCAGAAGTTGGGAGACTCCAGATACATAAGGTGTGGTCTTCTTGGTAGTGAGATGTGACTTGTCTGTGGTAGATTAAAAAAAAGAATTATATTTCAGCGTCACCAAATAGATGCAAAGACTGAAGCACCTCCAATAATTTAATGATCCAGTAGCTCCAGACAAATCTTTTTTCACTTAGGGTATTTTTTTTGTTGTTGTTTGTGCCCATTTAGAAGGGAAATATATTTAAAAAGAAAGACAAAAAATAAGAACTATATTTTCAGTTTCTCTGATTTTATTATTATTATTTTTTTAATTAAAAATGAAAAAAGAATAAGAAGTTTTCACAAAGTATTAACAGATTAATCCCATGTCCAGATAGGCTCAGGCTAAAAGGCGTGGTTTTCAATCTTGGCCATGGAGATAGTTGAGACTTTCTGTTAAACAGCAATCTCCTTGGTTTTAAGATTTTTCCTTCCTTCCTTCCTTCCTTCCTTCCTTCCTTCCTTCCTTCCTTCCTTCCTTCCTTCCTTCCTTCCTTCCTTCCTTCCTTCCTTCCTTCCTTCCTTCCTTCCTTCCTTCCTTCCTTCCTTCCTTCCTTCCTTCCTTCCTTCCTTCCTTCCTTCCTTCCTTCCTTCCTTCCTTCCTTCCTTCCCGCCTTCCCGCCTTCCTACCTGCCTTCATTCCCTCCTGCCTTCCTGCCTTCCTTTCATAGTAGGCTTGGAGCTCATCCTTGTATCTTATCTTAGAGATTCTTTGTTTTTTTTTTGTGGCTTTGTCTGTCTAGGTGTGTTGTCTTTTGTTAGCAGATGGTTTCCTGGAAATCCTTAAGAAATGGAAAGCATCATTCTTTTGATATTTTCCTGTTCCTCCTGGAGGACTACTAACACTCTACAGCTGATTATGATAAGTGTTACTGGTATAGATAATCTGTTATGTCTGCCTAACATCTTGGTATCTAAGTTTGGCCTACTTGTTGTAAAGGTATGGCACTATGTGTGTTGCCTTTATAACTACTCTAGGAGAACCTGGCAGATGTTATTGCTTCAACTTCAGGAGGTGTCACACTCACGTGCCTTCATTCTGATAGAGGATTTCAACCACCTAGATATCTGCTGAGAAAGCAACACAGCTAGATGTAAGCAATTCAGGAGACTCCTGGAGT